TCAACGACTTAAATAAGGAGACCATCCAGAAGAAATACAGAAGATCCCAAAGTCGTCTAGAGGTCATGGTTGAAGCCAATGGCGATTTTATTGAATCTTTAGTATTTCAAGATATTTTTGTGTAATTTCGGTAAAATTCATCTGTTAAAATGGAATGTCTGTGTTATTTTTATTTTTGCGTCATTTAGACAAGTTATCCGCCGTACCCTGTATATATATATATATATATATATATATATTATCCGCCGTACCCTGTATATATATATATATATATATATATATATTCATAGGGTTTGTTCCTCCGGGTTTAGGCTGAAAGCTATGCTATATGAGACAGGCTGTTAAAAATCTGAAGCTACACACAGATGACACGAGACATGCCAAACTCAGCAACTGTTTTATGCAAACTGCCGATCGATCTCGTTCAATCTCAGTATTCCATCGTGCGACCGGAACTGCTTAGACGACGTCATCATTGATTCTATGGAACAAGATTTACACTTAATTAAAAAAAAAATGCGCATAATATATTTTCAGGCTAGACATTCCATCATTGAATGGAAACCTAACCTACATTATAACACCGTATTTGACGGTATATAAGACGCACCGGTGTATAAGACGCACCCCAATTTCAGCAGGGCAAATTCATAAAAATTAGTAATTAGTAAAATTAGTAAACCTGCATATGGCATATAAGACACAGGGGAATTTTAAAAGACATTTTTATTAAAAAAAGTGCCCCTTATATGGTGACAGTTCAGGTGACAGTTCAGTCTACAAAAATGTGTGGTGCATGCATGCACAATGTACCGTATTTGACCGCATATAAGACGCACGTGTGTATAAGACGCACCCCAATTTCAGTAGGGAAAATCAAGAAAAAATTAGCAGTTAGTAAAATTAGAAAAAATATTAGAAACTGGTACAACCTAGGCTATATTTTTTAGGTATTATTTCGGTTAAACAAGCCATGATTACAACTGAACGAAAAATAATTAAAAAAAAAAACTCCAAAAACCCCCCAAATCACTTATAAAAACTTTATTCTATCCAAAGGTAAGAAAACAAAATAAAAATCAAACAATTATTACAATTGAACAAAACAGTACAGTTACCATTAAAATTATATTTAACTTCAAATCCATAAAATACATCGTCTTCGTTATCTTCGTCTTTTTATTCTTCCTGTAAGTGTAAGGTCGTGATCAGTCATTGCCATCCATATATTCCATTGCTCCTTCATGTTTAAGGAATAGAATTGCTAATAGAAGTTACCAGGTAGCTAATTTCGGCCGTCTATCGCGAATTTAAAATCTACATATGGCATATAAAACGCAGAGGAATTTAAAAAGTTATTTTTTGTAAAAAAAAATGTGCGTTTTATACGCTATCAAATACAAAGTAATTTTAAAAATAGTTATTTTTAATGACAATCAGTGTTTTTTTTAATCATTTCACCCCAAGCAATGCAATAAAGCCACTATGACTCAAGGGTCTACTGAGTATGAGAGAATATAAGCGAAAGAAAATATTACGGAGGTGGGAAAGTGACTGAAGTCTCATATGAATCTCACTGGTTTGTTTGTATAATCCTTTTAATTTAATTTTTTAAAAAAAAATTCTCAATCATCCCGCGATTGGTTTGGAGAGACGGTAACACATTGTATTTGTTTGTTACTTTTGCTTTTATTACTGGTCTTTTTTGGCAATGTCGAAAGACAAAAAAACCAAAAAAAAAAAAAAACCAAAAATAAAAAACCCCAAAAAAAACCAAACGAATAAGCAATATGACTTTATGAATTTAAGTGCATTATTAAATTGGCGGCAAGGACTCATCATTTTACAGTTTAAATGGCTAGATGTAACTGTTAGATTGCTTTTGAAGATAATAATAATAATTATCTGATGCAAGTCTTGCTATTTAACCCATAGCTGGGAGGAGAAGAGGTGGTTTCATACATTCCCAAAAGGTATTTGCACATAAGTGAATATAACGAAAACAACTCGAATTCTACAAATTACGAAATTTGTTGCACTGCTCGCACATCCAGACTTATAGCAGCTGGCATTCCCGAGCGGTCACCCATCTAGTTACTGACTACGTCCAACATTGCTTAACTTCTACGAGTTAACCTTTACGTGTTCTCGATCGATTTAAGATTTTTTAATTCATGAATTTGATATAAATAACATTTGAATATTTCTCGCTGTATCAATTACGACTGAGTAGTGAGTTCAATCCTCAGTAAGTGCTCTAAATTTTTTCCTTGTGTCATATCTAAGATAGGCTTCGTAAATTGCTACGAATCAGTTGGTTAGAGTTACTGAGTCACCTCCCTTTATTCTCTCACAGTTATCTCCCTTATTATCTTAATCGTCGCAAAATAACCAAATGCGATGCCCATCGTATCCGAGGGACTGGGAAAACAATTATGCTTGATCATTTCGTCGTATTTTGAAAAGTAGATCGCCCCAAAACAGTAGCCTATTGTGTATAATTTTTATGCGTAACTCAATGGTAGTTACATCACAGGAGCCATTGCCTGTTAATTGCCATACACGCAAAGGTGATCCTGTCTTTCGATTCATGACTAACTAAGCTGTCGTTATTTCTACGGTAGACTGGTTGCCAACCAAAGCTATACGGCCCAGCCTGTTCAACTATTCAACGCATAGCTGGGGGACAGATTCTTACCTTTTCTAAGGGTAGTTGCGCGTAAGTGAACGTGACAAACCCAACAGGAATTCGAACTCGGCTCTCCGATTTCTCATTCCGTGCCGATATCCATTGCACCACGACATCACAGATCTGAAATACTTTTGACCAATTACGAGATAGGAGGTGGCCAGTTTTCTGAGGCATAAATTTATTTGGGGGAAAACAGGCCTTATAACATCAAATAAGGTAGTTTAAATTCTATTGTGACAGAACTGTAAATGCTATGAAGCAGTCAATAAATGCGGCAAAAGATTGGCTGGCCAATCCCTGTTGCAGACGCCTGCTCAGGCACATTTTTGTTTGTTCAACACTCACAGATCCCACCTGTAGCTTACACTGCAACTATGCTTAGCGGACCTTAATTACAGTCTTTGAGAGAAAGCGCAATATCTGGTGTAATCAGTCATCTGAACAACGCTCAAACCCTCGGCCATGATGACTTGCTAGCACAGCCATAAAATAGTCCCGTCTGCCCAATTTCATTCACAAGGCTTGGGTCAATCCGTGCTATGGTTTTTCAGGCACTTTCTAAAGTTGCTGCACGTTGGGATAACCACCCCAGGCTGATCAGGAAAGTTACCTTCTTGACAAACCGACCATGGTGAGATTTGAACCTGGCTTTCATGGTCCGAAAGCGAATGTTCAAACCAGTCGGCCAGGTGGTCATATTATTTCATATTAATTGAAAAGAAAATACAGCTCCATTTATTTGATAAATTTGCATTAATTATTCATAAAAATGCAGATTAAATTTAGATGTTTTTTTTTATTAGGTAGAAATAAGCGGGGAAAAGTGTGAGCGATTTTAAGGGGAGATAAGTCAAGATGGAAGATGAAATAAAGTGACTTCCCTTTTACATCACAATTTTTTAAACCAAATATTATTTTCAGACGGACTATCATTTCAAATGTTGTTCGGATTAATGAACTCATTTTTTTTTTCGTTTAAACCCTTTTTTTTTGCCGTCTGGAGTAGACGTATGCCGTTGGAAGTTTATTCAATTAATAATAAAAAAGCATTGTGTTCAATATAAACGTTCGATTGCGGATTTGTATATAAGTTTGATAAAAGTGAAACAAAATAATTGCAACGCGAAGAAAATTATTTAAAAAATAATAAGCGTGCCAAATCAAATAAGCATAATTTAATAGTGCCGCCAGTTGTATTTTGAACACAAGAGTATTATTACACAGCGTTCGGGAAGATTCGTTCTATAGTCGTCCTCAAATGAATGTACATTTGAAGACGACTATAGAACGAATCTTCCCGTTGGTCTGGTCAGTATATTCACCACAATTTATCAAAAAAAAAAAAAAAAAAAATAAATAAATAAAAAAAAAACTAAAAAAAACAACCAAGCAACAAAAACAACGACAAAAAACAAAAACAAAACGAAAGAAAAAAGTTTTTTTTGTTTCGTTTTTTAACAACACAAGATCTGTAGATGAGACAGTGCTGATAGCAGGCACAGTAGGGTAGCTACAAGAACACATATAGAAGATAATTAAGGGAAGCGAGACGAAAGGACTAAACATCAATGACAAGAAAACAAAATGCATGGTTGTTAATAAAAGGAAGAGCCCAACATGCAAATTGCAAATTGGAGATACCAAAATCAAACAAGTCCAATTTAAAAATTTGGTAAGTGTTTTAACAAAGGGCAGAATGAATGACACTGATAACTGAAGACGCATTGGGATAACGAAAGCGACTTTCTAAAAGCTAAGCAAAGTATTAAGAAACAGAAAAAATTCGTTAGAAACAAAAACAAGAGTACTGAACTTTTACGTAATATCAGTCTTCCTTCATGGCAGTGAATGATGGACAATCTCTTCACAGATGAAGAAGAGACTTGGAACGACAGAAACGTAGTTGGTTGTGCAAAAGGATAGTGAAAATAACGTGGAGTGAACATGTGAGTAACGAGGAAGTTTCAAGTAAAATTGAAGCAAAAAGGACGTTTATACTTCGAATCAGAAACAATAAGATTGGATTTATTGATTAGTTCATTTTTTACGGTTTATCAACCTTTTACAGCTTATTTAAAAGCCAGAAAATATTTTTAGATTGCAAGAAATGTTTTGGAAGATAATAAAGGCTTAGTGATACAAGTCTTACAATTAACCCATAGTTGGCGGGAGAAGATGTGGATTCATACCTTTTGCAAGAGTATTTGCACATAAATGAATATAACGAATCCAAACGGGAATTGGAACTCGGATCTCCAAATAACAATGTTGAGTCATAATCCATTAAATCACCCGCACATTCAAGCTTACTTGGTATTCCCAAGCGGTCACCCATCTAAGTGTTGCCCAGGCTCGACGGTGTTTAACTTCGGTGATCGTACGGGAACCAATGTTTCAATGTGATGTGGCCATAAGCCTAAACATAATAAGGAAAGTGGGCTTGGAGAATTTGACACTAACAGAAGATATTGAAGGTAGAACGGACACAGAGAAAGAGCATGTAAACTACTTAAACTTGTTTGAATGGATGAGAAGAAAGAATGTTAGAGGGGTGGCGAAAATACTGCTTTCTGCCGTCCATCAGCATGGCGGATGCTAATCTCCAGGAGAGTGACTTGTTGTTTCTTTCTCGGGCTAACATTTTACGTTGACATGAAGTGGAAAGATTATATTGAATCAATTGCTAGGTCTAATGTTAGGAAAGTTTGTTCACTGTGTTGCGCTATAGATTTTTCTCTCCAGAATCTATCTTACATATCTATAAGCCTGCTATTCGTTCATGCTTTGAATATTGCTGCCACATCTAGTCTGGTGCTCTTGCTAAACATTTAGAGATTCTTGTTAAAATCCAAAGAAGAATCTGCGATGTTATTGGTCTTGACCTGGTATCTAGCCTTCAGTCTCATTTCCACCACTGTAATTTAGCTTCTCTGTGCCTTTTCTATAAATACTTTCATGCTAATTATTCTGATGAACTTGTCTAGTACTTAGACTTTATGAATTTAAGCGTAGAACTAGATTTCTGGCAAGATCTCATAATTTTTTCAGTTGAAATGGCTAGATGTAACTGTAAGTTATATGCTAACTGTTTCTTCGATCACAATTCTCGCTTGTGGAACTTACTTCCGACTTAATATGAAGCGTTTTAATAAATAAATATACAGGGTGAGATGGATAAATTGTCGTCTAAATGACGCGAAAATGAAAATAACACTGCCATCTCATTTTAACAGGTATATTTCCCAAAATTACACAAAAATATCTTGAAATACTAAAGTGTAAATTTATTCAATAAAATCGCCATAGGCTTCAACCACGGCCTCCAGATGACTTAGGAATCTCCTACAACTCTTCTTGACGGTTTCTTTGTTTAAGTTGGTGAATGTTACCATAATTCTTGCTTTCAGTTCATCTTTGGTGTTACAGGAAGTCTTGATGTTCTCGCTACACTGGGCCCCACACATAATAATCAAGGAAGTTGCAGTCTGAGGAGTTAGGTGGACAGATTTAATGAGTGATGTGGTCGCAGATATCGTTTAACAGTCATGATTGGGTCCTCTTTTTTGTGTGGCATGGTGCAGAGTCCCGTTGTCAATCATAGGGTCTTGCAGCAACCACCCACTTCACCCAAGGTTGCACTACCTCCTCAAGGCACTTTATGGAGGCTCCCGTGTTGAGGCGCTGTGGGAAGGTGAATGGAGGCATAACCTCGTCTAGGGATCACTCCAAACACATTCGTAATCACCATTAGACTCATCCAGCTCTTTCCGAATCTTCTGCACGGCCCTCTGATTGATAGCCAAACACCCTGAAGTTGTTCGTATTGGAGATTTCGGCGCGAATTCCAAGCTTGTTTCTCTACAAAAATTACGACCAATTAGTGAGTTCGATCCTCACTGGGTGCCCCATGCTTTCGTTCTTGTGGCACACCTAAGCTACGCTTGGAAAATCACTATATTGTGCAGACGACAAAATCAAAAACAAACAACGCGCATGCGTGAAATTAAAAGTATAAAACGGCGACAATTTACCCATCGCAATTTGCATAATTTAAACATATTATATCTCGGTTGAATTCCTTCGTTTAAACATCTTTTATTAAATGGAACGGACATTAATCAGTTCAGCTTTTTGATGAGATTCTCCTGGTTTCGAATATGCGGTTGTAAAGGAACTTGCCGAAATTGTGTGTAATCATTATAATTTGACAGTTTTCATAACAGCGTGGGTTTGGGCACGTGGCCTAATGATTAACACGTTCGCTTTCTAACCGCCCGGGTTCGAATCTCACCATGGTCGATTTGTCGGGAAGGTGACATACTGATGTTATCTGTCTAGAGGAGGCGATCACAGCGTGTGGCACTTTTGGAAAGTGCCTGAAAGCCATATCACGGGTTGACCCAAGCCTTGTGAATGAAATTTGGGTAGACAGAACACTTGAGAACCATCAATGGTTGTTCTAGCACAAAGTCACAAGTCATCATGACCGAGGGTTTGAGTGTGCTAGTCTTGTTCAGACAGTTTATCATGCTAGATAACACGCTTTCTCCCAGAAACTGTAACTAAGGTGAGCTCTCTGGGTGTTGAACAAACAAATGTGCCTGAGTAAGCGTCTACAATGGGGATTAGCTACCCGCCCTAGTAGACTGTCATCCTCGGATAGGAGTGGCCATTTACATTTTCATATCAGAATGCATTGACAGAATACAGCGGCAACTCTTACTTTTGTAGGGTGGACATGTCCTACAAACATCTGTTATTTTCTGTTTTACATTTGTTATATTTTGTCTGTAATTGGGATTCTGCTCCCCCCCCCATATCATCTTTATATATGAAGATATATATATATATATATATATATATATATATATATATATATATATATATATATATATATATATATTAAGAAATGGACAAAGTCTGACAATTTATTTATTAAAGACATTTTTATGTTTAACGTTCTTTTTATAGATACAAGTAAATAAGCAGTAAATTCGACCTTGCCACTCGAAGGATACTTTGTGGCCGAGCGGTTAGGCACGTCAAGCTAAATGACGGTTCCGTATAGGATGAAGGTTCGAATCCTGTCAAAGGACGAATATTTTCTATGAAAATTTCTCGGACATTCAGGTCGGTAAATGTTATTTAATACTGTTTATTATAAAACAGAGCACTTACTTAAATACTTGTATCTATAAAAAGAACGTTAAACATAAAAATATATATATTACGAGCATTAGAAATTTTTAAATCATGAGGTTTATTTTGTAGGTTCCCTTTGTGTATGGGATATTGTGGTTTGTGTAGGAGTAAAAGGCGAAGGATATCTTCTTTTGGTATGTGGGTTATCTGTAATGAATGAATGGGTCGTGAATCAGATTAGCTATGGTAATGATGAACAGCCTCACCTCATTTCACACTTCTCTGGCCATGTGCCGCAATTATTGTATTTTACAATAATAAATATTTACATATCAGCGTGGATTTAGAAAAATTGTTAAAATTTAAGGTTATGGATTGTAACAATGAATAAAATCGGAAAATTCTTTCACATTTTTTTTATTTTAAGAAAATTAAAAATGTTGTTCAAATGCACAAAAAGATTTGTGCAGATAAACTGGAGAAGGCATTGCAAATAATCGAACGTATTAAAACTGTTTTGTCAAGTCTCGTGCTGGCCATTTGTCGCTGGGTAGACTAGTTGAGGTTTGATAAATGATTAAATCATGACATGGCTTATGATAAATCAACACTGCAGATAATAAACATGCGCAAAATATATTTATACCTGCTTAATTATGATAGATATTTTCGACTGTGGCCTTATCTGGATTGTATTTCTTTATATTATTCGCGATTTAAACGTAATAAAAATGTTTCGTTCTTTTGTAAGAACGTGGGTTAAGTTAAATGAGTCACTAATTCTCATACCAAAGGCCATTCTTTCCCTCAAAGAAAATGACGCTCTGCATACAGTTGTGGCTGGTAAGAGATTCCCGTCTATGTACACATTCCGGAGAAATAAACAGTTGATTCGAACAAGTACTTTTGCATCATCAAGAAATATCAGAAAAAAATGTTAGTTTGGTGAAAGCCAAATATTGGCTTTCGGAAAAGCCTGGTTGCTTGGTCAATGAATGCCGAATATTTCTTTATAAGGAAACGGCTAATTGTTGTGACCAAGTAATGGTTAAGAAATAACAAAACAGGTTGTAGATAAATCATATATTGAACAGTAAATACAACAGAAGTGTGTTACATCACTTGGGAGTGTGTCATTTGACCAGCGTTCAGTCTATCACTGTTGATATTTAACAGCCCCTCCCAACTAGGGTCATATGTGGCACTTGACCGAGTTTAACGTGGGTCATCCGAGCCCGTAGGCTCGGCCCAAAAAATCCCCGTAGAACCCGCATAAACATGTTCGGGTCTGTCTACCTCCCCGGACGAAACTCTGCCCTTCGGTACAGCCTCTGTCAAACTCTCTGCCTTGGGCAGAGAGGCCCAAGGCAGAGAGTTCGACAGTCGCCGCGAACAGTCACAGCCCCGGAAGAACAGTCTATCACTGTTCCCCCGAGGCCTACATTCTTACTATAGACTCATTAGAGGGAGCACACCACAACACTAATATTACCATTGTAGTTTCATATTGGATGCAGGGCGAGTTTTGTCATCCATTTTCGAAAAGGAACATCTAGAGATGCTTAAAAAATAACGCTATATTATAGTAAAGAAATCCGTTTATATTTGTTCAAAAACTGATAAAAAGCATTTGATAGCTAGATGAGTGCAATATTGTGCTGTAGGGGTTTTCACCAAGCTAATCACGCTCCTGGGGATAGGGGGTGCTAAAAACTATTTGTCCACAATCTGAACAAATGGTGATTTTCTAAGCGGCGCTTAGATGTAGAACAAGGCTGAAAATATCGAACACCCAGTGAAGAATAAACTCACTACTCAGTCGTAATTGATCGAACAAGACAAGCTTGTTAACCATTACACTATGTCGAAGTACCCTGATGGTAATTTTCTAAGTGTAGCTTAAATGTGGCACAATGCCGAAAGTACGCGGCTGCCAATGAAGATCAAACTCACGACGTGTCACGCTTGTTAACCATTACACCACGTCGAGGTATCCCCCCTCCACCTCCAAATCATGTGAACATTTTTTTTAAATGGAATCCTTTCTTAGTTGGGCTAATAAGTTTTCAACATCTCCACACATTTCTGCAAATTTATATCTTAAAAGAATAGCTGTTTCTCTGTCCGTCATGCACTACCTGTATGTGACTTTGCATTTGAGAATGTAATGTATATGCCTGTACCTGTGTTAGATGTGAAAGACTTACATGTGCTTGTATCATTTAATGTTCACACACACACACACACAAAATTTGACATTAAAAATTTTAG